GATCCCCAGTCATGGACCAATACCTCATTGCGATAGGTACTTGATAAACACAGAACAAAAAGGTAGTCACTAGCCTGCATTATAGAGCTGCTTCTCAGTCTGTTAAAACTTTTTTTACATCCTTTGCTAACAGTGCCTGCACTCAGAAATGCTTGGATATTCTGTGTTAGCTGTTGGTTTTCCAATAAGTATTTTAATAGTTTCCAGTACTGTTTCTCAGGATTTTAAGCCCTCTTCTGTTCTGTAAGTCCTTTGTTCACTGAGTCTTCCTGATTCGATTTGGTATGGTGTGTATTAACTCTTCTCATGAATTCCTCTCATCTTCGCTGTATCTATAATTTTATTTAAACATTTAAAATGCAGTATTCTAAAAGCAGAAGTTCCATAACAGCAGTACTAAATTGCAGCTAGCACTGAACTGCACGCATGTGGGCAAGCCTGCTGTGATAGCAGCACTGACCTTGTTCCTTGCTTCGTGGGTGTTGGGCTCCTGCCAAACTTCCTGCCCATCATAAAATCTTGCAGAGGAGTAGGATTTATGAACATACACTCTGGAGCTGACAGTTGGATCAGTGATACTACAAGTCTTAATTTGTTTCATATTCGAATTAAAAAAGGAATTTCTTATTCTTAGCTTAGGTTTTTTTATTGATCCAGGTTTTTATATAGTGCTCAATCACCATATCAGTGCTTCCATAGAGTATCCGAGGTGTTGTCCCCATGCCCTTGTGAACAGACACTGTGAATGTGTGGGCTGGCTAGCCTGGCACCAGCTGTGACATTGTGGCATCCTCAGTATGTGGGCTATGGCTGTGATGGAATTTATTCAGGACTGTACACTCAATTTGGAGGTTTCAGAGTAGCAGCCGTGTTAGTCTGTATTCGCAAAAAGAAAAGGAGTACTAGTGGCACCTTAGAGACTAACCAATTTATTTGAGCATAAGCTTTCGTGAGCTACAGCTCACTTCATCAGATGCATTCAGTAGAAAATACAGTGAGGAGATTTATATACACACAACATGAAAAAATGGGTGTTTATCATGCACACTGTAAGGAGAGTGATCACTTAAGATGAGCTATTACCAGCAGGAGAGCGGAGGGAGGGGAAGAAAACCTTTTGTAGTGATAATCAAAGTGGGCCATTTCCAGCAGTTAACAAGAACGTCTGAGGAACAGTGGGGAGCGGGGGGGGGGGGGGGATAAACAAGGGGAAATAGTTTTACTTTGTGTAATGACTCAACCACTCCCAGTCTCTATTCAAGCCTAAATTAATTGTATCCAATTTGCAAATTAATTCCAATTCAGCAGTCTCTCGTTGGAGTCTGTTTTTGAAGTCTTTTTGTTGAAGAATTGCCACTTTTAGGTCAGAAATCGAGTGACCAGAGAGACTGAAGTGTTCTCCGACTAGTTTATGAATATTATAATTCTTGACATCTGATTTGTGTCCATTTATTGTTTTACGTAGAGACTGTCCAGTTTGACCAATGTACATGGCAGAGGGGCATTGCTGGCACATGATGGCATATATCACATTGGTGGATGTGCTGGTGAACGAGCCTCTGATAGTGTGGCTGATGTTATTAGGCCCTTTGATGGTGTCCCCTGAATAGATATGTGGGCACAGTTGGCAATGGGCTTTGTTGCAAGGATAGGTTCCTGGGTTAGTGGTTCTGTTGTGTGGTTGCTGATGAGTATTTGCTTCAGGTTGGGGGGCTGTCTGTAGGCAAGGACTGGCCTGTCTCCCAAGATTTGTGAGAGCGATGGGGGTCGTCCTTCAGGATAGGTTATAGATCCTTGATGATGCATTGGAGTGGTTTTAGTTGGGGGCTGAAGGTGACGGCTAGTGGCATTCTGTTATTTTCTTTGTTGGGCCTGTGCTCTGTCAATTTGTTTCTTCACTTCAGCAGGTGGGTATTGTAGTTGTAAGAATGCTTGAAAGAGATTTTGTAGGCTTTATCTCTGTCTGAGGGGTTGGAGCAAATGCAGTTGTATCGTAGAGCTTGGCTGTAGACAATGGATTGTGTGGTGTGGTCTGGGTGAAAGCTGGAGGCATGTAGGTAGGCATAGCAGTCAGTAGGTTTCCGGTATAGGGTGGTGTTTATGTGACCATCGCTTATTAGCACCGTAGTGTCAGGAAGCGGATCTCTTGTGTGGACTGGTCCAGGCTGAGGTTGATGTTGGGATGGAAATAGTTGAAATCATGGTGGAATTCCTCAAGGGCTTCTTTTCCATGGGTCCAGATGATGAAGATGTCATCAATATAGCGCAAGTAGAGTAGGGTCATTAGGGGACGAGAGCTGAGGAAGTGTTGTTCTAAGTCAGCCATAAAAATGTTGGCATACTGTGGGACCATGCGGGTACCCATAGCAGTGCTGCTGGTTTGAAGGTATACGTTGTCCCCAAATGTGAAATAGTTATGGGTGAGGACAAAGTTCAGCCACCAGGTTTGCCGTGTTTCAGAGTAGCAGCCGTGTTAGTCTGTATTCGCAAAAAGAAAAGGAGTATTTGTAGCACCTTAGAGACGAACCAATTTATTTGAGCATAAGCTTTCGTGAGCTACAGCTCACTTGTCTGATGCATAAAAGTGGAAAATGCAGTGAGGATGTTTTTATACACACAGATCATGAAAAAATGGGTGTTTATCACTACAAAAGGTTTTCTCTCCCCCACCCCACTCTCCTGCTGGTAATAGCTTATCTAAAGTGATCACTCTCCTTACAATGTGTATGATAATCAAGGTGGGCCATTTCCAGCAGAAATCCAGGGTTTAACAAGAATGTCTGAGGAACGGGGAGGAGGGAGGAAAAAACAAGGGGAAATAGGTTACCTTGCATAATGACTTAGCCACTCCCAGTCTCTATTGAAGCCTAAGTTAATTGTATCCAATTTGCAAATGAATTCCAATTCAGCAGTCTCTCGCTGGAGTCTGGTTTTGAAGTTTTTCTGTTGTAATATCGCAAATTTCATGTCTGTAAAGTTTGCCATGACATTACTGGGGATAGTGTTCCTGACAGCTTGTAGTCCATCTTTGTGTGGAATGTTGGTGTAGAGGGCTTCTACATCCATAGTGGCCAGGATGGTGTTTTCAGGAAGATCACCAATGGATTGTAGTTTCTTCAGGAAGTCAGTTTGGAGGAAGTCAATTTGGACGAAGCTTGAGACAGCCTAAAGCCAATAGCAAGTAACTCAGATGGCTTCCTCCCCCTGCCTCACCAGTGTGATTGGTTCATGAATCTTCAGGAAAAAGTCAGTGGCAGATTTTAAACACTAGTGATGTATTTTGTTTTGCACCAAAACAGGATAAATACTTTTTTTAAATTGAAAGTTGTGATAACCTGACTTCTTTAAGTCCCCAAAATCAAGAAGAAAGATTGCAGCCTATGTGAGTCACCAGAACTAGCTCTAGAAATAGCATCTAATACCTCCTTGGTTTTGAATTGGAAGATAAACTGGTTGACATGCACACTTAAGTGAAGACAAAGATTTGAAAAACTGTATGTATCCATCTGTCTCTGGTCTTATACTTAGATTGTAAGCTCTGTGCGGTGGGACTGTATTTTTGTTGTTTGTACAATGCCTAGCACAATGGGGCGTGGTCCATGAGTAGGACTCCTAGGAACAGTAAGACAAATAATAATAGTAGGTGAGGTCACTTGAGGTCAAGGTAGGGCCAAGTGGAATATAAACACAATTCACTTAGGGCTAGTCTACAGTGGCAACACTAAAGCTCTGCCACGGCAGTGCTTTCATGTGCATTGTGTGGTTGCGGCACAGAGCTGGGAGACAGCTCTCCCAGCGCTCTAAAAAAAACCACCTCCACGAGGGGCATAGCTACCGGCGCTGGCAGCGTGACTCTCAGCACTGGTGCACTGTCTACATGGACACTTTACAGTCCTGAAACTTGTATCGCTGAGGGTTAGTTTTTTTCAGTTTTGTCAGTGTAGACAAGTTCTTAGAGAAAGGATGTTCTTTTGATTGCAGTACATGATTAGAAGACAAGAGTTCAAGAGTCTGTTCCTTGCTGTCAGGCACTCCTGTGTGACCCTAGAAAATGAGAATATTATTCTCGAACTCTTGATGTTGTTGTGAAACTGAGTACATCTTTAATAAAGTGTTTCAAGATCCTCAGTGGCTGTTTAGTATTATGCACTGAGTGTGCAAGACAGACAGTGACTGAGAACCCAAAAAAAGACTCTGAAATACATTTTCACAAATATAACATTAACTAGTATTACAGTTGTGGTAATCTTAGTTATGTACTTTGGTCAGTCTTATAAATGCAAAAATATTGTTAGAGCTTCTGTTACTACTTGAAGGGACGTTATCAATTACATTGTGCTCAAATTTTAGTGTGTGCCATATAAGTAGGCTTGGCAGAATATGATTTAAAAAAAAATAATTTCAGTGGATAATAGATGTATGTTTGTTACGCATTTTTTAAAATTTTTATCAAATTCGAAATTTCACAGTTGTGGGAAATTACGGGGGGAGGGTCAGACAATAATTAAATGACATCAGACACTGAGATTCCAAAAGTTAATTTTTATAACCATTAAAACAAAAAATTTTCAACATCACATGTAAAAATACAAAAAGTAAATATCCTTAAATCAAACTAAGCTCTCAAGCAGCATTTTTCTTATTTTGCCAATCTGTAAATTTCTGCAATCCATGGAAATGTTTTTCCTCAGCTTCTGTGTTTACAGTGAAATAGACATTTGCTGACATGACATTTACCGATTGAAAATCTAATCCTTACAAATCAAAGTATAAAACACAATTCCCCACCCACACCCCCAATCCAGTAGAAAAGTCAATGAAATATAAACATTCCCCTACAGTATTTGAAACACAAAACATTAGTGTTTTACTCAGGCATGAGAATCAAAATTAACTGACTAGAAACTAGTTGTACACTTGTTCGTATGTTTTATTTTTAACCAGATTTATTTGAAGAAATTACTATTAGAGTTTATAATTATATTTCCATGTATTTTCAGGTAACATTCAAGGAGCAACAATAGTAGATGCCTTGGATACACTGTATATCATGGAAATGAAAGATGAATTCAAGGAAGCCAAGGAATGGGTAGAAAAAAACTTAGATTTCAATGTGGTGAGTATTGGGGATTATTTTTTTTTTATTAATTGTTAGTGCATTGTGATGATCTGAGAACAGGGTCCCATTGTGCTAGGCACTGTATAAACAAACTAAAAAATAATCCCTGCCCCCATAAAGCATATAATCTAAATAGGCAAGGTGACATAGGAGACAAAGTTGTAACCTGTAGTCAGAATGAACGGAATGATCACAAATGGCGTGTTAGTGCCACAATTTTGGGGGGCTGTGGGTGGGGTATTTTTTGAGTGGTCATGAGTTAAAAGGGGACTAGCTAAATGGAAGGGAAAAAGGACACTGGCCTGTCACTGCTTCTGTGCAGCCAGCTTCTCTTGCTAGAACTAATATTCTGGTCAAAGCTACTTGATAGATGTGAAAAAAATCAAGCACGTTCAAAAAGTACTTTTTAGTTGACTGACTATACAATTTGAGGCCAAAATGGTACCCAAAGTTGACTCCTAAATCAAGGTAATCTGACTTTTTTTTTCCAGAAGGGCTGAATGCTTGCAGTTCACATTACAGTTAGTAGGAGTTGCTAATGGGGACCTTTAATAATATCCCACTGTAACTTGTGTGTCAACTTTAGATGCCCAAATTTTAAAACTTTTGGTCTGTTTCTGTACAGGACACAAGATGATGATCTACCAATAAAGTTATTACCTTTCTCTATAATTAATATACACTGTAAATGTCAGTGTAGTTACGGACTTTTATGCATACTGATAAGACCAGTGAAGTTGAGAATCCCATGACCTGAAAGTGAATAAGCTTGGATGTAAGGGCTTATCTTGGTAGAAATGACACAGACTAGCTGTTGCAAACCTGTTTCCTATATGGACACTATTCCACATCTTGGAATTCAGTTCTTCTAAATCACAAGAAGGCACTCTGAGTGCACAGTCTATGAAAATAGGCCCCTATGGCATGAACCATTTTTAATCAGTAGGTTTTAGAGCTGCGGCGGAGTTAAATGTGGGTTTAATGGTGTTAGAAAACTAAATGAATAAATTTACTTTGAATAATGCTAACTTTAATTTAGGTAGGTTAGCTCCAAATACCACTTAAGGCTCAGCACTTACAGCTAGTGGAAAAACAGAACAGGTTCCATTCTTTGTCATATGTCTGTATATCTCTGCTGAAATGTTTTATCATATTATCCTGCACTAGTTAACATTTTATTGCCCTTTCTTCCTTAACGTTTTATTTGTATATTAAATTTCTGAGATTTTTAGTAACTGTCTTTTTACCCATGCAAAGGATTTATTTTTTATCATCCGTGCAGTGATACAGCTACTAAACGTTTACTGTTACACAGCTGGTGTATAGATGGGGGTTATGTGAAATTAATCTGATCGTTTCAGTTAGTTGTTGCAGAAAGAGAAGATTAATCAGGTAGCTATTTAAAAAAGTATATTTGAAGTCTTCATTTGAACTCCTGGACTAACTCTCTACAAATTTAGTTTTAGAACTCTGCTGTTTCACTTTCCACAGCTATAAAATTTGTTTTCTTTACATACATAACCTAGTAAACAAGGATAAAATGAAGAAACATATAGCACTTAAAAATGACTCTGTGAGGCAAAACTCTTAATCTCTTTGTCTAGGTATCTATATGGCCCCCATCATCAGAGTATGGCAACACAGCTTAGCTAAATTAAATGATGGTTTCTATAAGCTTGTAAAACTAAGGATGTTCATTTGTTTAATTTGGCTAGTTTTAGGTTGTTCTTTTTCACTGGATAGACTTACTGTTACCAAATTTATTAACACACACTTTAAGATTAACCTAGCAAAATAAATGGTATTACAAAACAAAGAAAATGAGTATGAAGAATTGTATGAAATTGATTGATTAGTGGAGCTACAAATGTTAAGCTGAAAGACTAAAACCAAATAAGCTATTTGTCAAATATAGTTTGTTTTTTTATTGCTCAGAATACGCTCTCAAGCTTCTGAGAAGGCCAACAGTTGAATTCTCTACAAATTTGGCTCCTATGGTGAATACTGACTTTCTTGGTATACTCAATGATTTGAGTCCTGCCTATAGTTATGGCACTTCCCATTGGCCTTTTTTTAGCTAGACCATCTTCTAGTTTTCCCAGTAATATAGCAATCTGCAGTAAAATTGCTTCCTGGAAAAACAGGGCTGTTTTTATTTTGAGATATTTAAACGGAGAATTGGGTCTATGCTGAAGTTTAGTTAAACTAGCAGCTGAAAATGTCTTGTTAATGTTTGAATTTGTTTAGTAGTTTGCCAAAGTAGACTCAAGTTGGTATACTTTAAATGTCTCACTTAAAAGTGGTTTTCTTTTGTTTAGCTTTGAGGATGAAAAGAAATAAAAGTATTTCAAAAGGTTAGGGGAGATCCTAAGGGTACATTTATCATGGGGCGTAATAAATTGTTGTCCCGTCAAAGTCTGTTGGAAGGAAAACAAGCATGAAAATAAAATATTATGAATGGCACGGAAGTTCTAAACATGCACATTGGAGCTTGAACAGTTCTGAGTAAAAAGGGGTGTTATACTGATTTCTTACTAGTTGTATAATATCCAATTTGTCAGTTATACCACAGGAGTGTAATACTTTTGATCGGTAATATAGCAAACCATGTCATTTAATTTTAGTAGTTGAAGTGTGAACAGGGTTTTATTATATAATTATTGGTTAAAAATGTGGCAAGCTATTTAAAAATTGTAAGCAACAGTCTGTCACCATCAGTTTTATTTTTGTAGTAGCCTTAACCATCTAGTGCATTTTTAGTGATCTAGAATTAAAGAAAAAAAGGTTTTTGTCATAGTTTTTCTGACAAGGGGGCTTTTCCCTTGTAAATCCTTCCTTACTTCCTCAGATCCGTCATGAGCGATTACTCATTCTGACTGGAGAAGACTGGATGAGGCTGAGCTCTCCTTTGTCATCCCAAAGGGTTAGTGAGGGAAACAATATTGTATGGTTTCCCTCAGAGGGCCTAAACATGTTGTCACTGCAGTTATTGGCTCCTACCAATCTGGTACAGGGTTAATCTCAGGCTGTCATCCACAAAAACACTGTAACAACTAGTTCTTAGAGTGCTTGTTCATGTCAATTCCAATCAGGTGTGTGTGCGTGCACGGCAGCCAGAAGATGTTTTCTCTAGCACCATCCGTGGGATAGGCCTGGGCGCCCCCGGGAGTTGCGCCTTCATGACTCATGGCTTAATAAAGAGCCCTGCCAACCCGCCCCACCCCACCCCTCCTCAGTTTCTTCTTACTGCCAGTGATGGTTAGCTGGAACATCCCATAGCTCTTGCCTTGGCAAGCACCATTAGTAGTGTCCGTTGTATATAGTTATCATACGTTAGTGTTAGTTATTAGTAATTGTAGTGTAGATATAGTTGATGTTAAGTTTTTCGATGGGGGTTTCCCCCATCCCCTCCCAAGACTCCTGGCACTATGGTATGCCACAGTCTCTGAGCTTTAAAACTTGCAAGGCCTGTGGCAAACGTATGCCTAAAAGTGGCTGCACACCTTGTGTTTAAGGTGCGTTGGGGAGAGTCACCAGAAGGAGTGGTGAGCCAGATCTATCTTGGGTTTCGCCCTCGGACTTCGAAAGACAGAGACTAGCATCTTAAAGTCCTTCTTATGGAAGCTGCGGTCCAGCCGCTGTCAGACCCCAGATTGGGGGATCCCGCACATAGCATCTCCTCCTCGGTGCGGAGCACCCGGCACCATCTGCAGAGAGACTCTCGGCACTGTCACAGCTCCTCCTGTGTTCAGCGGGCACCTCTCGCAATCAGCTGTGCCACAAAAGAAAAGGAGGCGAGAGAGGGGCCGCTGTCCCCTGGCCAAGACCGAGGAGCCAGCCGCTGCGAGACCCCAGTCGGGCCCCACCACCTCGGCCCCTTCGCCTGCTAGGGTCACGTCGACTCCTGCTCCAGTGGTGGCATAGTTGAATCTGGATCCTCCCTGCTTGCTGGCCCCATGGAGCCAACAGCTACAGCTCTCATTTACTCTTGAGGTACTTATGGTGGCCCAGGACTTGTTACACTGTATGGTGCTGTTCTCCCCTCCCAAGAGGGATGAATTGCCCGCACCAGGCTGTCCCAAGGCACCATCAAGGGGAAAGCCGGTGATGATGTCGCAGCACTCACCATCCCCAGACCTCTCCCTGGCACCAATGGCACAGGTGCGGGAGCCACGCCAGTCCCCTCGCCCATGCCACAAACTGTCTATTCCCTGCAGTGCAGCTTCTCCATGGTCATCCTTCTCGGAGACAGACTCTGACTCCGTTTGATCGGACAGGAGGAGGAGTAGGAGATGGAGGTTGCGGCAGGATCGTCCTGCTTACCCGGCACTGTGGCCTGCTCAATGGCAACACCTGACGCAGTGGCCCTTCTGGATGCCCTGGGCCTTACACCAAATCCAAGGGCGAAGCCAGGAGTCCCAATCTAGAGCAGCATTGGTAGCATTTATACTGCCTCCAGCTCAGTCAGCTCCGGGAGTACCAGGAGTGGCTCTAGCCTTTCCCAATACCAGGTTACCACCACCCATGGTACCGCTGCTGATCACATAGATGCCATCGGCACCAACAGCCCCAGCACCGGCGGTCTTGATGTCGCCACTGACTCTCCCGGCACTGGCTTCTATAGTCATGGCACCGAGAGTCACAGCACTGTTGGGGTCGACATCTGCATCCCAGCACTGTTGGGGTCGACATCTGCATCCCAGGAATCCAAGCTGCTGCTGGATCCCCTGGTCATGGAGAGAAGGGAACAGCCAATTCTTCTGGGGCTTTCCTTTTCTTCCTCACCAGATGAGGCAGTGGCAGGCACTGCTATAGCCCTGGCCCTAGAGGACAGCACTACAGCAGCTGCTGCAGTGGGCTGCCAAGATTCTGGGCATCCAGGTGGAGGAGGTTGTAGAGGATGCCGATCACGTAGTGTATATCCTTGCCCCCTCCGGACCTGCACACGTTGCCTTGCCCCTCATAAGACCGATAAAAGGCTGCATAGCCTAAAGAAC